AAATAAAATAAAAAATAATAGTGATAATAAAACTGGTCTGAACACCACCCAGATCCGGTTACGGAGATAGGACTTGTAACAATTTTATGGGACTTTACACAAAGATATAACATTCAAAGCTAATCGCCCAGACGTAACAATCAAAGACCATAAAAACAGAATCTGCTTTCTTAATGACATGGCAGCCTTTGCAGATTGTAATGTATCTTTGAAGATCTTCAAAAAAATCCAAAGACAACGATGTTAAATTGAAAATCTAAAAAAATATGGCACATGAAGACATCAATAATTCCAGTTTCACTTGGAGCAATCGGATTGATTGGGAAATGTTCCGATAGATTCATTGAACAGATTCCTGGTAGATCATGCCTTAAACAAAAACAAAAGATTGTACTCACAAATACACTACGAAAACCTTTATGTGTTTGGTCTTCGGTTTTTCGTTTGTTTACTTCCCCAAAAATGATCGGTAGAAAATGTCATGAAGCCATTTCTGGTTGGGTCCCAGAAGGAAATATGTATACAACAGAAATGAAAGGAAATAATAATAATAATAATAATAATAATAATAATAATAATAAAAACGGTGCCTCCTTATTGATATAGCAGTCCCTGCAATGTATCTTTGAAGATATTCAAAAAGTTGTCAAAATACAAGGACCTTGAAATAGAAATCTCGAAAATGTGGCATATGGGAACATCAACAATCCCTGTTGTAGTTGGAGCCCTAGGACTGGTTGGAAAAGATTGCAGTAGACTAATTGAAGGGATTCCTGGAAGTCCATGCCTCAAGGAGATACAAAAAATTGTTCTGACAAGTACAGCCCACACATTACGAAGGGCTTTATCTAATTTAATTTTTTTTTTTTTTTTTTTTTTTTTTTTTTTTGTCAGTGGAAAGTGTCATGACGCCATCTCTAACCTTAGGTCCCTGGGCGGCACCGGGAAAGAAATGTGTAAACGCCAGAAATCAAAAATAATAATAATAATAATAATAATAATAATAATAATAATAATAATAATACAGCGAAGGGCTTTGTCTATGTAAAAGATGTGCGATTATTTTGAAAACTGCTCAGTCGAAAATGTCAAGATGCTATTTCTGACCTTAGGTCTCTGGTCGGGACCCGGAACGGAATGATTATACACCAAAAAAAAAAAAAAAAAATAATAATAATAATAGCAAGCAACAGTTTGTTAATATAAGTTGCCTATGTCAATTTTATTTTTATTTGTACATGGAGTATATCTTAAAGAGCTGGTATCAAGAATATACGCCATCGTTACTCCGTTAGACGTATGCAACAGAGCTCTAAAGACGCGTCTGTTATCTTTGGGGCCAGCCGCTTCTGCCTATATCTGGTTGCGAGATATTTGGCTTTTCCACTAGCAGTATACATTTTTTTATTTAATCTTTTCTTAAAGTTAAGGAAATGATAAAGAGGAAAGTAAGCGGTTCTTGTAAACATGATGGACAGAAGAAAGAAGGGAAAACTAAAGTGAGACGAGTGTGTTGCTTTTGCGCATGTCGGTTGCTGGCGGAAGTGAATGGAAGGAAGTAAAAAAAAAATGTTTTCCTTCTTATATTTTTTTTTTTCATCTTCTGAATTCTTCGGTTGAACGTGATGCCCGGTTCACGCAGTCAGCGCTAAAGAAATTTTTTTTTTCTTTTTACCGAATTTTGCCGAAATGAACGTGATCGCACTCTATATATCTCCGTAGCTTCTGCACCTAACAGACGCAGTATTTCCCCCCTCCTACATTAACCACAACGATTATTATCCTGATGACACTACGATTTATTCCTATCTAAATAGCAAATCCGCCAGAGCTGCCAAAGTTAACCTGGCCACTGTTCTTGTAAAGGACTTCCAATCTGTGGTTAACTGGGGCAGGAAATGGCTCGAAAATCTTTATGCCTCCGAAACGAAGCTGCTTTCATCTATCCAACATAAAGAATATTTCCTACCCGCTATCAGCATAGTTGAGCCTTGACTGATGGGGAACGTCTCAATACGCCTTATTGGCCTCACGTTTTCATCTGGCGTCAAGTGGAACGACTACATTGTATCAATAGCTGCAGTTGGTTCCTTGTGTCGTGCCAGAAGGTATTTCTCGTCAGAGTAAATCTACCGTTCGTCCATGCATTGAATACTGCTGCCATATCTGGTCTGGTGCCCCTGCTGTTCATCTCGAGATTCTTGACAAAATCCAAAGACAGATATAGAATGTGATCTCACTTCCAGATCCTTTCAACCGAACACTAGAGTCCCTTAAGGCTCTATACTGGGTCCTAGGCTATTTTTGATCTTCATCAATGATCTTCCTGATCATTAGCTAGGATTGGGTATAATTCCGGGTAGATGTACTTTACGACAATCAACGGATTTCTGTCTGGACCAGTCATTTATACTGGTGGTACTACCATTTACTTTTGTCTCAATAGCAAATCTATCAGAGCTGACAAAGTTAACCTGGACGCTGCTCTTGAAAAGGAGGTCCAATCAGTGGTTAACTGGAGCAGGAAATAGATTTTAAATTTTAATGCCTCTAAATCTAAACTTCTGTCATTTAATCACCATAAAGAAAATTTCCCGCCCGCCATCAGCATGGTTGATGCTAGACTCCAGGAGAGCAACCCACTGCACCTTCTTGGCCTCACGTTTTTCAACTGACTTGAAGTGGAACGACTACATTGAATCAATAGCTGAATCTACTGCAAGGAAAGTTGGCTCAATGTGTCGTGCTAGAAGGTTTTTTTTTCTTGTCAGAATCCATCTTGAACATTTACAAATCTACCATTTGTCCGTGCATTGAATATTGTTGCCATATTTGGTCTGGTGCTTCTGCTACTCATCCCGAGGTTCTTGACAAAATCCAAGGAAGGATCTGCAACCTAATCGATACTGACTTGGCATCTCGACTTGAGTCTCACTCTTCTTTTCTGCAAATATTTTCATGCCATCTGCTCTGACGAGCTTTTATCCCTGGTGCATCGACTACATGGATTTAAGCTTGCTCCTAGATTGGCATCTAGAAACCGCCCTTTTTTTTACTTTAGAATTAGTTAAATGTAACCGCCACTTCTACTCCAACAGATTATTTTTTCTCGCACTTCCGGTCTGTGGAACTTCCTACCGTTTCCTTGCTTCCCTGAAAACTACAATCTTCAAAAGTTTAAATGCAACGTCTAACTTCTATCTTCTTGAACCACGTTCAGCTTTTCTCATTTCGTCTGCCCGCCTTATACCCAAGTTTTTTGTCCCACCTTCACTCTCGTTCCCCCCTCTCCCGCCGTGGCCGTGATATTCCCAACTTGCTTTGCGGAGGATTAAAAAAACATAGTCGTATCATCGATATAGATGTTTATAAATGATCTGTGTATAATCTTAGGCAGGTCATTTATGTATATCATGAAGAAGTTTGGTCCGAGAAGTAACCCCTGTAGTAGCCCTACTTTGAAGTCTAGGGCTCTGGAGGACTGGCCGATAATAAGCACCTTCAGGAAACAACCTGTTGGGAAGGATTTTATGACCGAGAAGACATGCCCAGTGATTCCATAACTGAAGAGCTTGTATAGTAAGCCTTTGTGCCACACTTTGTCGAAGGCTTTTTAGATATCTAGTGCTATGGTCCTCGAGGTGTGTTTGCCGTCAAGAGACTCACTAAGTCTGTGAGTGATGGTAATTAGGACGTCGGTAGTTCTTGTCGCTGCAGAGTTTGTTCGTTTCTAGGTGTTTGACGACCTTCTTATTAATAACAGACTCAAAGAGGTCGCTGAAGAAGACTGAGGAGACTGATGGGTCTGTACTGGGAGTGGGGAACATCGCACGCCCGGAAAACCGGGCATATGCTTGGCACTTTCAACAGCTCTGGGTAGGATTACTCCTTCAAGCAGAGGTTTAGCTAGGATTGGGTATAATTCCGGGTAGATGCACTTTACGACAATCACCGGATTTCTGTCTGGACCAGTGGCTTTCTAATGATCAAAGCCATTGATAAGTCCGAGACCCTCACGTGCCGTGACGGTAATTTTGCTGAGATTGTTCTCGGTGGGACGTGGGAACTTTGTCATTTAACAGTTAGAAGCAAAGATGGAGGCGAAAAAGGATCGTCTTATCAGTCGAGAAAGGTATCACCACGGTGCAATTTATAATTGTGAGAACAGCCGCTTTACCCCTGTTCAGGGTTTGGTCTGTGATCTTCCAGAATTTACATGATCCCGTTTTTTTTTTTTTCAACATTCGTCTGGACCGCCCGTGCGTAGCTGCACTTTGGCGTTCTGAATGCAGTGACGACCGAACTACTTCGGTCCTTATTGCAGTAGTGTTTTATATATATATATATATATATATATATAATTTAATACAATATAATATAATATAATATAAAAGGCTCAGACACAAATTTGTAGGTTTGATGAATTGGATCGTGATTACGATTCCAATGTAATAAATTATAACCACGGAATATTAGTGTTTGAGCCTTTTATATTATATTCTTACTCTGTCCTGGACATTGAGCTCTACCTGGATTCTATCCTCTTAGGAATATATATATTGCGTTTAGCAAAATAACAAACTGTTGCCTCTGTTTTGAATTGTTGATTTCAATATATACATATATATTATAAATATATATATATATATATATAGAGAGAGAGAGAGAGAGAGATATCAGTCATTTATATGCCATGCGTGATACACGCTTAGGCGATCATGTATCTTTCGATACATGGCTGACAAGGCAGATTTTTTCCCGCAGTAGGTTGACATTTCTTTCTGCGGTAGACCAGTTGCCATCCAAGGCTACATAACCCGGTCTGTCCTGCTATTTACTAGCTAGGTGGAGAAGAAAAGGATTCATACCTTCCCTATTAGCACGTAAGTGAATGTAATGGATTCGACTTGAATTCGAACTCGGTTCTCCGATTCCTCAATCCAAAGCGCTATCCATTACTCCACCCTGTCTCCATTGATATAGGTATTTATATTAGGATATTACACTGAAAATATATTACTTGGATAGATAGATAGATATGAATAGACTGAGATAGATAGATAGATAGATAGATAGATAGATATGAATAAACATAGATAGATAGATAGATAGATAGAGAGATAGATATGAATAAACTTAGATATATATATAGATAGATAGATATGAATAGACTGAGATAAATAGATAGATAGATAGATAGATATGAATAAACTTAGATAGATAGATAGATAGATAGATAGATAGATAGATATGAATAGACTTAGAGAGATAGAGAGATATGAATAGACTGAGATAGATAGATAGATAGATAGATAGATATGAATAAACATAGATAGATAGATAGATAGATAGATAGATATGAATAAACTTAGATATATATATAGATAGATATATATGAATAGACTGAGATAGATAGATAGATAGATAGATAGATAGATAGATAGATAGATAGATATGAATAGACTGAGAATAGCTAGATAGATAGATAGATAGACACACAGATAGCAAAAACTGACCGACGATTTAAATTTTGTTTGCACGCCGCTCGTTACTATGTGATTTTAGAAAGTGTAAACATGCTGACGATGGCTTAAGTCAGAAGAAATTGATATCTCTGTGGATTAAAAAAAGGGTGTGGTGTGAGGTACTACCAGGTTTGCGACGCCAAAATAAACATATGTAAATATATCTATTTATGTCACTTCATTCATTCATATATATATATATATATATATATATATATATATATATATATATATATGTGTGTGTGTGTGTGTGTGTGTGTTTCTCTTTGAGTTGTTTCAAATATATCCACATATACACAGCACGGTTTTTCGCTACGCGAAGGCTGACTGGGAAAACTATATTTTGGCCCTATGTGATAGAACCTCCTCTCCTAACCTTTTTCTAACATGCTTCCCCCCAAAACTGCTGTCCTAGTATCCGAATTGATCCTTTCTGGAATGGTATGCTTCATACCCGCCAAAAACTTACTGCAAAAATCAGTCAGCACTGGTTCATGCCTGAATCTGCTGTCGCCATATCTCACCGGAAACACTTCAAAATCTATCGCAAGTAGCAATGTAGTCTGGTCCATAGTTCTTTCAGAAACGCCCACAATCGCTGTATGAGAGTTCTGGAAAGCGTAAAGTCCAGGCCAAGGTTGGAAATAAACACATTGGATCCTGCGAATTCTGTAATATCACCAACCTAATTATGAACCGAAGCAAATGACCCCGAGGTCATATCCTTGTCAACTGACAAGGCAATGCTCTTCAGCTCGATCTTTGCCTCAGAATCAACATTTGGTGACAAAGGCCACCCGTTCCCCAACTTCCTACGTCTCACTGAGCACAAAGTCAGTAATAGACTCATTTCAATAAGAAAAGTCTGTAAACTTATCAAAAACCTAGGCCCAAATAGAATCCATTGGTCCAGACAAAATTCAAATAGTCGTATATCAACCCAAAATTTTCCCCGATCCAAATTATTTAACAGCTGCTTGATGGAGAAATCCTTCTCAATTCTGCGGAAGGAGTGTATGTCCGGTCTTCAAGAACGCGAGAACGCGATCTTCTCCCTCTCAGTACAAATCCACCAGTCTCCTCAGTATCATTAGGAAGCTTTTTGAGGCTATAATCAATGAGTAGGTCGTTGAGTATCTAGATAAGAATAACCTCCTGTGTGACGAGCAGTATGGGCTTCGATTTACCTGATCCACTGCTGATGTCCTAACTACCACTACCTAATGACGTTCTTGACGATAAACACACCTTGAGAACCAGAACATTAGATATATCGAAGGCTTTCGACAAGGTGTGGTACAAAGTTTGCTTCAAAAGCTCTCCAGCTATAGAATCACTGGAAGGGTTTTCTCAATAATAAAATCCTTCCGAACAGGTAGATCCTTGAAAATATTTAATAACGTCAACTCCCTAGCAGTCAGCAAATCTCTCTGTATAGACCCATTAGTCTCCTTAGAATTATTAGTCAGCTTTTTGAGGCTTTAATCAAAAAGAATGTTGTCGAACACCTAGACGGGAACAACAGCTTGTGCCACAAGCAGTACGGGTTTCGATAAGCCTGACCCACTGATAATGTGCTAACTACCATTAAAGACAGAATTAATGAAGCCCTTGACGACATACACAGTCTTGATAGAGTTCAAACACATCTCTGCGCACTTGCTGGAGGAGAACTATTTTCCATCCTCCAACATCTCTCTCACGATTCTATCGCTACTATCATGGAAAGTGCTCGGACGATCTACATTTCTTGGTTCTCCCAGGCTTAACCTTTATGGCTAGGACCCGCCATGACACTTACATGGTAGCAAACCACCCGCATTCCATCCGTATTCCATCGGTGAAGAAAAAAGAAGCTCCACTCAAACAGTTTCTTCTCGTGAACCCCTTCTCTGTGGAACAGACCCCCAAGAGGACGTTTCCCCGTTTACTACAGTCTTAGCCTGTTCAAGTCTAGAGTCAACAGTGATCTTCCCCTCATATTCATATAAACTACCACTTAACGAAAACCCTCTACTTTGAGTAGCCCTCGGTCCTTGTACAGAGTGAAGCTTACTGTAAAAAAAAAAACTCAATTTGTTTGTTTCTTTCTATCCATGTCTGTTCTCATCAATCTACTAATCTATCTCAGATTTTTCATATCTATTTATCTCTCTCCCTATATATATATATATATATATATATATATATATATATATATATATGAGATGGAACAAATACATTGAGTCAATAGCTTCGTCCGCCGCAAGGAAAGTTGGCTCCCTGTGCCGCGCCAGGAAATTCTTCTCGCCGGAGTCTATCCTTCAAATCTACAAATCAACCATTCACCCTTGCATGGAGTATTGCTGCCATATATGGTCTGGAGCCCCTTCTGTTTGTCTCAAGGTTCTTGATAAGATCCAGAGACGGATATGCAATATAATTGGCCCTGATCTGGCATCTCGTCTGCAGCCGTTCTCTCAAAGACGCGCCGTCGCCTCTCTCTGTCTTTTTACAAATACTTTCATGGAAATTGCTCCGAGGAGCTGCATTCGCTGGTTCCCAGACGTCATGAGTTCCAGCGCCTTACGAGGGTTTGGCATCCCGCTCTCAATTTTTCACTGTCGAAACTCCTAAATGTAGCCGTCTCTTCTACTCTAATAGCTTCATGTCTCGCACCTCTCGCCTGAGGAACTCCCTTCCCTTCTCCTGTTTCCTGTATTTATAATCTCCAGCTATTCAAGTGTAATGTCAATCGACATCTCCAGTTGCCTTAATCTATCCACTACCTTCATCCTTTCTTCTATCACTCCTATTATCTGATCTTGCTATTTTCTGTAACCCCCTAAGTAAAATTGAAGGTTTGAAACATATATATATATATATATATATATATATATATATATATATATATATATATATATATTCGATTATATATTATATATGCAGTTCAATTTATAATTACATGAATCATTCATACAAAAAACAAATATAAAGGTTAATGATTTAAATGGTGAGAATACATCTTCGCAAACAATTTCAATAAGGTACACTAATCCCGAACCTGTATATGAATGATATGATCCCTGTTTATAAATTCCATTTGCATAAGGTTTTTTTAGTTTTTACAAGCTTTCGTCTGTTCCTACAGACATCCTCAGGTATGGAAGTAGATTTTGTTCTTGTTTTTTACTTCTCAGTAATAAGAGGACAACGAAAATAGAGATGTAACCCGAAAAAATGCTATGAGAAATGTGTTATTGTTTTGGAACGTGCGGTCGCAACGCTGAGTTTGAATTTTAAATTTTAAGGTTGTGCGATTTTGTACAAATATAGTAATACGAGAATATTTTTCCGTCAATGTGGCATGAACTATATTGTTCAATAATTACAGGAATGTCACAGTTATTATCCGAAAGTTGCACGTTGGATCAGTTATTTTAATTTCGATTATAGGTGCAGTTCACTTTATAATTACATGAATCATTCATACAAAAAACAAATATAAAGGTTAATGATTTAAATGGCGAAAATAACACATTTCTCATAGCAAATGATTCTGTAAGCTACGAAATAAATGGTAGTCTGAAGGTGCAAGATCGGGAGAATAAGGTGGATGAGGAATTTTCTCCCAACCAAGTTCTTCGATCTTTTGTGACGTGATTCTTGCTGTGTGGGGTCGCGCATTGTCCTGATGAAACATCACCTCTTTTCGATTCACTAGAGCAGGTCTTTTTTCCTCAAAGCTTGGTTCAAACGCTCTAATTTCTGACAGTATATTTGAGCATTAATTCTGCATTAGGTGGTAAGAATTCAAAAGTAGATTATTCCTTGGCGATCCCACCAGATTGAAAGAAGAACCTTTTGCTCATGAAGTTCCCTTCTCGGCTGTGGCTGGGGTCCTTCCCCATTACCAAGCCACTGTCTACGACGCTTAACATTTCGATAAAAGATCCATTTTTCGTCGCCAGTCAAAAGTCTATCCAAAAAAAGTGAAACAAGTTGGCGAGAATAGAGAGAAGAGCAGATGTCAACTCGGAATTTGAGGTTGTTTTCTGACAACTTATGAGGCACCCATTTTCCAAGTTTAGGAACTTTTCCACGATGTTGAAGATGACGATGAACAGTTGTATGGTTTGAATTGAGAACCACTGCCAATTCCTCAAATGATAAAGCAGGATTTTCTTCAAGGGCTGCTTCAAGAAGCTTTTCATCAAACTCAACTGGACGCCCGGTTCTATCTTCATCTTCAAGAGTGAAATCTCCACCTCTGAATTTTGCAAACCATCTTCTGCAAGTTCTTTCATTCACACATTCCTCTCCATAAACTGAGTGAATGTTTCTAGACGCTTCGGCTGCTGAGTTTCCTTTCTTGAACTCATAAAGCATTATGTGCCTCAAATGATTCTTGGGTACTTCCATGTTAACAGGGTTTTAATCAAACAAAATTTAGTTTTATTGTTCTCTGAAATAAAATTTGATCAGTTTAAATGCATCTAAACATAAAAAGAATGTTCAGCTCAATTAGACATTAAAAATACTCTTTAAATTTCGTTCATTTTAACAAAAAGTTAAAATTCGGACAGAACTTATGGGATGACCTGATATATATATATATATATATATATATATATATATATATATATATATATATATATATATATATATATGAACAAAACTCAGTATAGCCACTAGGCGTTACTGTTTGTATGGGGTGATACTGATTAATATATATATATATATATATAGGGTGTCCATAAAGTTCGTCTGTACTTTAAAAAATTTATAAATTATATATATTTATTATTATATATATGTTATAACTTTATTTGTATTTGCGATAGAAATAATCTGTAAAAAATGTCTAAAAAAAGTTTAATGTACTTAGTTTTAAGTTTCGCTAAAATAACTAATGTGATTTCAGGCATTACTGTAAATCAGTTGGCAAATGTTTTCCGTGAACTGCAAAATCGTAATTATCTTTTGTATACAAATAAATTTATAGTTTTAAAAGTGCACTGAATTTTATGGACACCCTGGATATATATATATATATATATATATATATATATATATATATATATATATATATATATGTATGTGTGTGTGTGTGTGTGCATTGACATGCCTTGTTTGATTTATAGTTGCAGTTAAACTGGCCTCAGTGTTCATGGGAAAGTGACGCAAATGTAAGCTGTCTATAAATCCTGGTTGGACTGGGTCTGCCCCGGTTTCAGGGGTCTATCCCGTTGATATCAGCTATAAATATTCTTTTTTTTTTTGTATTTCTTGTGTCTGGTATTTTTCGTGAAACTTAAGGAATGTCGGGTAATGAAAAGACTTGATTATACAGGCAAACAAATCAGATAGTAAAAAGGAAAATTGTTTAGAATTGAAACTTGAGCACGTCACTTTTTTTTTTTTTTTACAACATTGTAGTGGGTTATCGTCGAAATCTCAGAAAGAAAGAGTTGCGTGTTTCCCTAGCGGATGCACGCGTGGAACAATTTGTCTGCAATACGTAGACTATTTACAGGTTTTGTGGAGATATTTAAAAGGATGTAAACATTAAAACGAGATTAATTTTAATTAAAATAAGGACACAGTTTAAATTAGAGTTTAAATGAGATTAAGTTAATTAAAAATGAGGACACAGCCTTTTAGAAAAAAAGATAGAAATTAAGGAGGAAACAATGAAGAAAGAATGTCATGAAAAGAAAGAAAGAAACGAATCAAATAAAACAAAGAAAGATTTAAAGAAAGAAAAAAAAAAGAAAATAAAAGAAAAAAAAAAAGAAAAGAAAGAAAGAAAGAAAGAAAGAAAGAAACGGGGGAAAGAAAGAAAGGTGAAGGACAAAAAAGAAAATAATGCAGAAATAAGAAAAAGAAGACGAACGAGATAGAATGAAAGAAAGAACGAATGTCAAGAAAGAAAGAAAGAAAGAAAGAATGTCAAGAAAGAAAGAAAGAAAGAAAGAATGTCAAGAAAGAAAGAAAGAAAGAAACGAATTAAATAAACAAGAAATAAAGAAAAAAGAAAGCAACAAATCAAGTAAACAAGAAAGAAAGAAAGAAAGAAAAAAAAAAGAAAAAAAAAAAAAATGAAAAAAAAAGGACAAAAAAAAAAAAAAAAAAAGAAAAAAAAGAAAAAAAGAAAGAAAAAAAAAAAAAGAAAAAGAAAAATATTTTTTTAAAAAGAATCAAATAAACAAGAAAAAAAGAAAAAAAAAAAATGAAAATTTTAAAAAAAAAAAAGAAAGAAAAAAGAAAGAAAGAAAAATGAAAAGAAAGAAGGGAAAAATCAAGAAAAGGAAAAAAAAGATTTTATTGAAGAAAAAAAAAGAAGACGAACGAGAAAAATGAAAGAAAACGAATGTCAAAAAAGAAAGAAAAGGAAGAAAGAAAAAAGAAAGAAAATTAAACGAAATGAAAGAAAGAAAGAAAGAAAAAAGAAACGAAATTAAAAAACAAGAAAAAAAAAAAAGAAAAACAAAATTTTAAAAAAAAAAAGAAAGAAAGAAAAAAAGAAAAAAAGAAAGAAAGAAAGAAAAAAAGAAAGAAATTAAGAAGAAAGAAAGGAATTTTTTTAAAAAGAAAGAAAAAAAGAAAAAAAATTCAAAATAAAAATAAGAAAATAATGCAGAAAGAAAAAAAATAAAGAAGACGAACGAGAAAGAAAGAAAGAAAGAAAGAAAGAAAAGATAACATATCAAGCAAGGAAGTTGTGAAGAAAAGCAAAAAGAGCAAAAATGAAGAAGGAAAGGAAGAAAGAAAAGAAAAGAAGAAGTATGAAAATATGTTGAAAGATAAAAAAGAAGAAATGTAACAAGTAAAGCTTTGAAAAGAAAATAAGCAAGAAGCAATGTAAAGGGAAAAAGAACGAAGAAAATGAGAAAATAACAAAGAAAAGAAAAAAATAAGCTAAAAGAAACAAGGAAAATTAGAGAAAATGTAAAAAAAGAATTGATATAAATGCGAATGAAGCAATGAAAGAAAAAAATTAGGAAGAAAAAAAAACTAGAAAGAAAAGAAAAAATAACAAAGAAGGGGAAAGGGAATTAGAAATAGAAAAATAACATGGCCCAGTGGATAAAAACGTTGGTTAGATCCAGTGACTAGACCCAAAGGATTGTGAGTTTTACCAGACTAAAAATGAAAAAAACGTTGTGAATATGGCAATGAAAATGAGGATAACAGTCCGAATAATGTAAATAATTCAAGTAACCATATCTCATCTCAGAGATACAGACAGATATTGAAAAAAAATCCAATCACCTGAATAAGGCCGGAGCGTGTAACGGCCGAAACGTTGTGAATATGGCAAGGAAAATGAGGATAACAACCCGAATAATGTAAATAATTCTAGTAACCATAATACCTCATCTCAGAGATATAGAGGCCAAAAGGTTGTGAATATGGCAATGAAGATGAGGATAACAGTCCGAAATGTAAATAAAGCAAGCAATCATAATACCTCATCCCATAATATTGATATTATAAGGGTCGAAATATTGTGAATATGGCAATGAAGATGAGGATAACAGTCCAAATAATGTAAATAATGCAAGTAATAATAACATTTTATCTCAGAGATATAGACAGAGATTGAAGAAAAATTCCAATCACCTGAAGAGGGCCAGAGCATACAACGTCTGAAACGGTGTGAATATGGCAATGAAGATGAGGATAACAGTCTGAATAATGTAAATAATGCAAGTAATCATAATACCTCATCTCAGAGACATAGACAATAAGTTCTTCTATTTTTTTCTATATATATATACATGAAAATTTCTCAGAGTTAACCTGTAGAAAAAGACAATATTTATAAATGTAAAAGTGTAAAAATCAATAGGAAAACTGTAATAGTAGCCGACGCGTTTCGTCCAATGTGGACTTTTTCAACGCGAAAGAAAATGAATTTATTTAAACAAAGTAACTAATAATAATAAAAACAAAATGTCCTTAGCAACTGGAAGAATTTAGAGAACGCTATTTTCATACTGTTAACTGAAAATTACGTCAGTGTGGAGATATTGTTTTTATTGCTGTGTTGACGGATTCACCCATTTTCTTTTGATTTCTTGATACTGTTGTGTACGTTTGTTTGGGTGAGTAGCAATTGTTTAATAAATTCATTTCGTTTAGCCTTGAAAAAGTCCACATCGTCGGCAACTATTACAGTTTTCCTATTGTCTTGACTCGTATGATTATAAACATTCACAAGAAAAATGATTTAAATAAACACCCAGCGTTGAAAATATATTGCGTAAAATAATGATATGGAAATACAACTAAATACTTTGAAACCAAGCGGAAGTGACAACAAGTAAGCGGAAATGACGCATTTAAAACCGAAACCTAAATTGGAATTGAAATTAGGACTCGGAAGATAGATTTCGTATTTCCTTTTATAAATTATGATTAAAATCTACATCTTTTTTCCTTTTTCAGATTCTGATTTCATTTTTATAATTTTCTTTGGGGGTTGAATGTTATGTTGGGTGGGGTCTAATTACATTTAATTAAAATTAATCATCAGGATTCTCGGAGAGAATGTTGTACCTTGCGTATGCACTGCAATGTTACCTCAGAGCGTTTTAAAACGAGCCAATTGCATGCCGTTATATAAATATGAATATGTAACGATATTTGCATTAAAGTTATGATTTATACGTGCATCTTGGGTTGGTTTAATGGCAGTATTTAAAATAATAAGATTCTTAAATGAACAAACACTGGCGCCTCGTTGGGCTATTATTTTTAAGAAGCTGGCTCCTAATTAGTATTGATGTCAATCTTCACTGGAGATAATTAAAGGAAATTGTGGCTTTTAAAAAAATCTATGTTCAATCATCGGATTATTCTCTTTGCCTGTCTGTTTGTCTGTCTGTCATGGACAACACAGAAACGACATTTTTTTTCTTTATCTAAAAGAATTCCCGAAAGGAATTCGTGTATCTGTCATCACATATTTCAGAAACAACTGGAAATATGCTCTCTTTAATAGAATTCCCCAAACAAGTCTGTGTTTGTTTTTCATCGGATCTGTTGCGGGAATCTCCACTTTTGTTGCGAGGTGTGGACGTTTTGCAATAAATGTTTAATGGATCTTGGTAAATTTGTCCAGTTTTTATTTGGCAGACTCATATGAGTCTGGGTAAATATAAAAAACAAAACACGGAATTTAAATGAAGTATAATTAAATGGGTATATTAACAAAAAGAAATTAAACTAATGTACAGCTAATATAAACTAATGACGTCGAAAAACAATCCGTGGCTAGACCAGCTGCTAAGAAAGTTGGTTTACTGTGTGACGTTCGACAATTTTTTTATTCTTACATATCTATAAGTCTACCATTCTTCCTTGCCTAGAATATTGCTGCTACATACGTCCCGGAACCCGTGCTATTTACCTTGAGCTCCTTGATAAAATCCAAAGAAGAATCAGCAATATTATCGGTCCTGATCTGGCGTTTCGTCACTTTTCCACCGCCATAATGTTGCCTTTCTGTGCTTTTTCTATAATTACTTTCATGGTTATTATTCGTATGAGTTCTTCGCTATGGTACCTAGACTTTATGAATTTAAGCGTAGTAGTTACCTGTGTCGAGAGCTCATCAATTTGCAGTTAATCGGGCTAGATACATGTAACCGAAAATTCTATGCTAACTTTTCTTTCCTATCATTTCCCAATTGTGAAACTCCCTTTAGGCTACATGATTTCCAGCCAATTTTAAACTCCAAAAATTAAAAAAAAAAAATTAAATGCAGTGTCAATCGCTATCTAGAGTCTTGTTGATAAATCTTTTCTCTTTCCGCTTGTTATTTATGTTTTTAGATCTGATTCACCCTGTCACACCTTGTGGCTTTACAGCCTTGCATAGGGTGATATCGATTAGAAAAAAAAATCTACTCATTCCAAGGACACCCTGTTCTGCTATTTTCAGTGTTTTTCACCTCCATAAGTTTGCCTCTCTGTGCCTTTTCTATAATTACTTTCATGGTTATTAAAAAAAAGTTCTTCGCTATGGTATCTAGTCTTTATGAATTTAAGCAGAGTACTTCATCAATTTGCAGTTAAGCAGGCTAGATGTAACCATAAATTCTATGCTAACAACTTCTTTTCTATCATTTATCATGTGTGGGACTCCCTTCCGCCTCAATGCTTCATTGCCGACTTTAATCTACAAAAATTTAAATTCATTATCGATTGTTATCTTTTTTTTTTTTTTTTTTTTTAAGCGTTTCACCCCAAGCCACTAGGACGCAAGGGGTTACAGAAAAATTTAGAGCAAGATCAGATAGGAGGGATAGAAGAAAGGATGAGGAGAAGGGTAATGGATAGATCAAGGCAACTGGAGATGTCGATTGATATTACATTTGAATAACTGGAGATTATAGCTCTCAGGGAAACTGGAGTCGGGAAGAGAGTTCCACAGGCGAGAGGTGCGAGACATGAAGCTATTAGAGTAAAAGAGACGGCTACATTTAGGAGTTTCGACAGTGAAGGGGTGAGATCGGGATGCCAGCCTCGTAGGGCGCTTGAACTCATGAAGTCTGGGAACCAGCGAATGCAGCTCCTCGGAGCAATTGCCATGAAAGTATTTGTAGAACAGACAGAGAGAGGCGACGGCGCGTCTGTGAGAAAGTGACTGTAGACGAGATGCCAGATCAGGGCCAATTATATTGCATATCCGCCTCTGGAGCCTATCAAGAACCCCGAGGCAAACAGAAGGGCCCCAGACCATATATGGCAGCAATACTCCATGCAAGGGCGAATTGTTGATTTGTAGATCTGGAGGATCGATTCCGGGGAGAAAAAATTTCCTGGCGCGGCACAGGGAGCCAACTTTCCTTACCAACGGGAACATCTTTCCTAGGAGCTACTACTAGATGAAGGAAAGCTGAAAAAGGAGGAAATAATTGACATTTAACTACTTGAACAGCGCCGCCTAACGGGCGTTTGATGAAGCCTAATGAGGTAACCCGCAGATCATTTCACACCAGATAAAAATATGACGACAGAATTCTCTCAATTGATTCTTTATCATCCTTGTTCTTTTCAGAACATGGAAGGTCATGGTTCAGCAATGATCTATGCTTTGTAGCTCTTAGCAATATTTGTCTTCAGGCTTTCCCATAGAGTCACAGTTCTGACATCCATTTACACAATCTCCTTGGAAGGTCACTCGCTGCTTTCGTCATCTACTTTGAATTAGGTGTCCTCGAAATTCTTTTTTATGATTTTATGTACAAGTGACTTTCTTGATTTTGTTTTCCGAAAAACTTCCTCCTTAATCACATGTTTAATCCATGTTATTATCAGTATTCTGTATTGTCTCAAGTCTCCTTTCTGCGAGGAATCTGCGTCGTATCATTGAGGATTGATATCATATAGCAGTTCAGTATTCTTTGTTGCTAATAAAATTCTCCGTGGCTCGATCAGTTAAGGCACGTCAGGCTAAATGACGGTTCCGTATAGGATATAGGCCCGATTCCTGTCGGAGAACGAATATTTCCTATGAAATACTGTTTATTATAAAACAGAGCATTTACTTAAATATTTGTATCTATAAAAAAATGTATAATCATAAAAATGTCTTAAAATAATGGTCATGTTTTGGTCTACACATATTTCATGTTTTGCTTATGAATGAAAAAAAATTGCGCCCTGACGATGACAATTTCAAATTGTCGAAAGTA